CTTGAGAATAAAGCATAACAATAATAATAATTTGAACGGTTTAATGTGATATGAGCTAACTGATCTTTAGATTTAATCACCGTTGGTAGCGAGATTTATGGTAATGCTTTTTTCCTCAGTTGGTCAGAACAAACGTGGCAGACTTGTTTTTGACTTGTTCAGATGACAATATATGGTGAAAATGCTTATTTGGGGGTCATATTCCAAGACATAGGCTAGAATCTGTGATTGCGAAGTACAGTGAATATCCACACCGGTGCGGTGACTGACTGCCACACATTCACCTCAAAACATTAGATTCATCTGCGCTGGAGCCGCGCTGACGCACAACCCAGGCAAGGAAGATAATTCTGCCCACAGCTGCAATTACAGGTTTTCAAACAGAGATGGCGACAAAGAGGCAAAACTTACAGACTGCAGCTTTAAAGATTATGAGGTAAAAAAAAAAAAAACATAAAAGGATGCATCATTTACAATAAAATCAGTAATATACATTTAAAAAATAGGTAAATTTTCATGTCATGCTTACGCAACTTTTCTGAATTGTCATAAAACGTAATTCAGAAAATTTATCACACTATAATGTGTGAATATACATTTTTGCTTATACCTCAGGAACAGTTTGGGCTAGATTCTACATTTCTCAAATCGAAATATTACACTATTACTTTGGTCATTTTTTCTTTTTCCAGATAACTGCCACTTGCAGCTATTTCATGTTATATTCATAGCACTGTTTGCTCAGATCACTGTTTTATGTTAAATAGTACAATAAACAAAAAAAGTCACTGAAAAACATACCTGCTCTCTGTAGGGGGACTCTGGTGGTCAAATGGTGAGTCAGCAGTGTTCAGTCTGGTATCATCAGTAGGGGTCATGACTGTGGTCAGCCCAGTGAACCTGGTGTATACACCCGTGTGTCACAGTATCAGCAATGGATCACCACCTCCATTGGCCAAAACCTCCCAGGATTCGTCATCTTCAACCCCCTAATCTTATGCTCTTCTGCCAGCCAAGGTAAAAACTATATAGCCTTAAACATGTATATCCAACAGATACATTACATTCATTTGTTCGATCTTTATTTATTTTTTTACCTCTGCTGGTTGATGTATAGTCATATAAAACACGCTTACCCATACTTCCAGGAACTGCAATGCCAGTACCCAGTGATCATCACAAACTGCACAAGTTCAAGATTTGTTGAACAGGCAGTTTTCTACAGGACTTACCATAGTAGTTGTAGGATGTGACTAACAAGATTAATGCAGTATTTTATCAACAATTTTCTGTCATCTCCTCACAGTTAGACACTATTTTTTATTTTTTTTGTTACCTTTTCTTAATTTTGCCTATAATTTTGCAAATATTAAGCACAGATCTTACCCATACATACAACTTTATATCAGCATACAGTATAAAATGACAGCGTGCACATTTCTAATTAATTCAAATTAAAATCAATACATTTTGTGTAAACAAAAAATTCAGCAAGGACACATGAAATTTATCAAGTGACAGTAAAGACAATTAAAATGTTACAAAATACTTCTATTTCAAATAAATTCTGTTCTTCTGAACAGAAAAAAAAATCATGGTTTCCACAAAAATACTAAGCAGCTCATCTGTTTTCATCAATGATAATAATAAAAAAAATGTTTCTTGAGCAGCATATTAGAATGATTTTTGAAGGATTATGTGACACCGGAAACTGGAGTAATGACTTTGCATCAAAGAAATAAATGACCTTTTCAAAATAGATTCACGCAGACAAAAGTTGTTTTAAATTGTAATAATATTTTACAATATTACAATTTTCACTGTATTTTTGATTTAAAAAAATGCAGCCCTACAAACCGACCCCAAACTTTTAAACAGTAGTGTATGTATTCTGTAATACACATACTGTATGTTGCAATGCGTGTAGAAGCTTTTACCAAAATTAAAAAGTGCTTTAAAATTGTATGGTTTATTTCATTCTTTTGTACAGTTGTTTCAATGCATTCTGTTTATCAACTAATCTGATATACTGTAACGTCTCCCAAGCTGTTCCAGTATAAATCTCCTGTCTAAAACCAGCAGCGAGGTTCTGTCAGTTCTGTAGTTGGCCCCAGGCGCTTCTGTGCAGGTTTTAACTCTGAGCTCCGAGTCTGAGGGTCTCAAACCAGCTCTGGGTTCTCAGGTTCACAGCACCTTTTTCAGCAGTGGCTTTGATCCATTGTTCTTCATGTGTGCCACCATTCAAATGAGCTAAATGAATACATACAATGTAATGAATTCATAGAATATGTTAGATAATGTAGTTTAAATAGTCAAATTTTCATGTTTGTGTTTGAGGATAAGATGTAGACTTGCAACTGAACAAAAAAGTATCAGGCAGTTAAAAGACATTCAGTGGGTCTGGCTTCTACTCACCTGTGACTGTTGTCTTCCCATCAGCTGAAGTTCGTTCAGTCTCTTGACATGAGCTAACTATCTCTGAGCTAATGCTAACAGAGGTTTCAGACAAGTGCACTGCTGCTTTCATAGTGAACGGCACACGCACACTCACAGCACCTGAATCAATGACAAATAAAAGTGTTAGAAAACTAGTTTAAAACAAGGGTCAAGTTCTTAGAAATGTACTCAAGTTCTATGAGATGTTCATACTAGGCTCAACTTTTTTATTAGTTTCTTTGGTGTCATATTCTGATTCTGATTACCTTGTTGACTGTGAAGTTCTGCGCTTCCATCTTGACCCACATATGCATCAATGGTTCCAGCAGCAGTAAACACCTTCAGGGCACCACTTGAGCTGTCTGTGACGCAGGAAAGACATCTTTAGTGCACTAAACGAGTGACTAAATAATCTACTGTCAATTCAGCCTGCTCACTTACCAATGAAAATATTTCCTGTTTTACTTCGTACAAGAGCTTCACCTGTAAAACAACAACGACACATGTCCTAACCGCATATCAGGTCTTTACAATGAGCCAATACCGTCCCTTCCCCTCACCGTGTACATGGCCAATCTGGATGTTCCCGGAGGAAGTGGACACTGAGGTGGATTCACCATAAATGGCCTTCACTTTCAGATCCCCGTGTTCTGTGAAGAGATTCATGGTGGTTCCCTGAATTTTCTTAATATCGACATTCTGGAGAATGAGAACTGTGATTTAATAACAGTTTCACAGAATATGCAGTTATGTCTGTCCTAAACGACTTACACTGTCCAAAGATGTGCTGATATTAACATTCCCATGAATGGTCTGAAGTCCAGTGACATTTCCTCCTGTGGACTGAACTTGAACCTCATGACCCTAAACAAAATCACAGTTAAACACTATAATAATATAATAAATATATAATAATAATATAATAATAATATAATAAATATATTATAATAATAAATATAATAATCCATATTATCGCAAAATAAACTAATTACATTTAGGCCTTTTTGACATATTAAATCAAGGGTTTTCAATCTTTTAGATACCACAGAACCTTGAGCATCCTAAAATTTAAAGACAACTATATATTTATACTTTTACAAATTATAAATATGTGTAAAATATTGATAAAATAATGTTTTTATTGCACCACTTACTATAGTAATGTTTAGTAATGTATATTCATTATTCAAGAATATTTTATTTTTTATTTTAATTAATTGATTCTTTTTATTTACTTTTTAGCATTTTATTTATTTTATTTTTTTACTTTTTAAAAAATTGACTGCCTAGTACTCCTTTGCGGCCCTAGGGGCCCTAGTTTGAAAACCCCTGCATTAAATGATTAAAAAGCGAATGCGTCACCTTGACAGACTTTAGGACACAGTGCCCTCTCTCTGTGTGAACATGGCAGAGGTCACTCTCCATTTTCTGGATCTTCACATTGCCGTTGTCTTTAGTCTTGATGTGGAGATCTGGAGGAACGGACAGGGACTAAAAGGATGCACATGTATTCCTATGAATTTAAGTATATTTATTCAATACATTACCTAAACTTACTCTAAGTAGAGTTTACCTAGTAAAAGTCATTCATTTTAAAATATTATAATTGTATAATATTAATAAAGTAAACTATCAATAATATATTAAATGATCAAATATAATATAAATATATGATTTATTAGTACCTTTACAAGCCAGAATACAGTTCCTTACCACATTTGATAGGTGCTGTCAGTTCAACAGTGACATTGCTATCCACCTCATCGCCCAAAATCTTAAAGGGGTCATATGATGCTGCTAAAAAGAACATTATTTTGTGTATTTGGTGTAATGAAATGTGTTTATGCGGTTTAAAGTTAAAAAAACACATTATTTTCCACATACTGTACATTATTGTTTCTCCTCTATGCCCCGCCTTTTTGAAACGCCTCGATTTTTACAAAGCTCATCGGTCTAAAAAAGCGAGGTGTGCTCTGATTGGCCAACTATCCAGTGCGTTGTGATTGGCCGAATACATCAAGCATGTGACGGAAATGTTACGCCCCTCACCATACTGTCGATGCCGTGTCCGGCCGGAGCGACGAGACAAAAACATTAAAACCCATTACAAACGAGGCATTTGTTGCATCCAGTGGGGACATAATTACGGGTTATAATGACTTATACTGTCTTTTTACACGTTGCGTATCGCGCCGCGTAAACATAAAACCATGTCTGCATTTGTGATCAGAGAAATGACAAACAACAAGTGCTAACATTAATCCACACTGCCCAAAACTCGCGTTTGAATCATCAGTAGCAAAT